TTAAAATATATTTGAACAACAAATAATTAATTCAATTGTAACAAAGACAACCAAGCAATTCGAGACAATGCTCGAACTTGTGCGAAGGTACGGGCTTCGTCATCATATCTGCTGGATTATCTGCAGTACCAATCTTCTCAATCTTGATTACTTTAATTTCTCTGATAAAATGATATCTGACATCTATATGTTTGGTTCTTTCATGATACATCTGATGTTTCGTCAAATGTATAACACTCTGACTGTCACAAAATACCGTAGTAACACCTTGGTGTAAGCCGAGATCTTCAACCAAACCTCTCAACCAAATAGTTTCTTTCACTGCTTCTGTCACTGCCATATACTCTGTCTCTGTAGTAGATAAAACAATTGTCGACTGTAGAGTCGCCTTCCAACTAATGGCACTACCTGAAAGAGTGAATATATAACCTATCAGGGATCGTCTCTTATCCAAATCACCCGCATAATCTGAATTAGAATAGCCAAGTATTCTGCAATCTGAGTCTGTGTTCCTGCCAAAATACAAACCAATATTAGCAGATCCTCTCAAATATCTAAGTATCAATTTCACAGCCTGTCAATGGACCTTTCCAGGCTTATCCATGTACCGACTCACAACACTGACTGTATGTGAAATATTTGGACGGGTGCAAACCATCGCATACATAATGCTTCCAACTACACTCGCATAAGGAACACAAGACATGTACTGCTCCTCCTCCTCAGTCTGAGGTGACAAATCTGCTGAAAGACGAAAGTGAGCGGCAAGCAGAGTCTTCACAGGCTTGGCATCAAGCATGCCAAATCTCTCCAACACCTTCTTGATGTATTTTTCTTGAGATAGGAATAAACTTCCTTCTCGCCTGTTCCTGTGGATCTCCATCCCTAAAATCTTCTTTGTTGCTCCCAAGTTCTTCATCTCAAACTCATGTTTGAGTTGAGATTTTAACTCGTTGATTTCTGACATATCTTTAGCTGCAATCAACATGTCATCAACATACAAAAGCAAATATACAAAAAAACCATCATTGAGCTTTTTATGATAAACACAACTATCATATTTATTCCTAGAGTAACCATGCTCAAACATGAAAGTATCAAATCTCAAATACCACTGCCTCGGAGACTGCTTCAACCCATAAAGAGATTTCTTCAACCTGCACACATGATCTTCTTTACCTTCAACAATAAACCCCTCTGGCTGATGCATAAAGATCTGCTCATCAAGCTCGCCATGTAGAAAAGCTGTCTTCACATCAAGTTGCTCAAGCTCCAAATTAAAATGAGCAACCATGGCAAATAACACGCGGATTGAGGTGTGTTTTATAACTGGAGAGAATACTTCATTGAAGTCCACACCTTCGGTCTGACTGTAATCTTTAGCTACCAAGCGTGCCTTGTACCTTACAGAATCTGTATCCGGAGCTCCTTCTTTCTTCTTGAAGACCCATTTACAGCCAACGATCTTCTGTCCCATTGGTGGCTTCACTAGCTCTCATGTTTGGTTCTTGTGAAGAGACTTCATCTGTTCAGTCATCGCAACAGTCCAATTTGTAGCCTCATTGCCACTAATAGCCTCCTTATAAGTAGAAGGCTCTAGAACCTCAATTGATTCTGCTATACTCAAAGCATAAGCAAGCATGTCTGCATAGCGTTGAGGAGGTCGGATCTGCCTTTTTGTTCTCCTGGTGGTAATATTATATTGTTGCTCTTGCGGTGTATCATCATCTAATGTTGAACCTTCAGCAATATCAACTGGTTCAACATGAGCGCCCTCAAGCATTCTCTTTGAAGTTGAGTTCTCTAGCTCCATCTGCTTGGTAGACTCCTTTTTAGTACCCGTAGTGTCAATAACAAACTCCTTTCTCCGGTGAAGCATGAATTTTTCATCAAAAGTAACATCCCTACTAATAATAAACTTAGGTGACTTGGGATCAGAACACCACAATCTATCCCTACTAATAATAAACTTAGGTGACTTGGGATCAGAACACCACAATCTATATCCCTTCACCCCAGTAGCATATCCTAGAAAGATAGCTTTCTTTGCTCTAGGTTCAAGTTTACCATCATTAACATGAAAATAAGCAGAGCAATCAAATACTCTTAAATGAGAGTAATTAGAAGGGGCACCATACCATACCTCTTCTGGAGTCTTAAAATCAATTGCTGTAGAAGGAGATCTGTTTACCAAATAGCAAGCTGTATTGACTGCCTCGGTCCAAAAGTCTTTTGACAAACCGGCATTAGAGAGCATGCACCGATCTCTCTCCAAAAGTATTATGTTCATCCTTTCTGCAACTCTATTTTGCTGTGGTGTATGCCGAACTGTACGATGACGCACAATACCTTCATTCTTGCGGAACTGGTAAAACTCTGTGGAACAAAACTACATCCCATTGTCGGTTCTGAGGTTCTTCACTTTCTTTCCTCTTTGCTTCTCAATCATAACCTTCCATTGCTTGAAGGTTGCAAACACATCACTTTTATGCTTCAAAGGATACACCCAAACTTTTCTGGAATAATCATCAATTAATGTTAGCAGAAAACGAGCTCCACCTTTCGATGGAACCTGAAAAGGACCCCAAATATCTGAATGGATATAATCTAAAGTACCCTTGGTTCTGCGGACACCGGTACTAAAGGATACTCTATGATGTTTGCCGAAAACACAATGCTCATAAAAGTCTAATTTGCTGGTTTTCTGACCACAAAGCAGACCTTGTTTGCTCAATATATCCAGTCCTCTCTCACTCATATGCCCTAACCGCATATGCCACAAATGTGTAATGTCTGAATCTGAATCCTCTGAGGATGACACTGCTGCAGCACCTGTCACTGTACTGCCTTCAAGGATATAGAGGATATTTATCTTCTTTCCTTTCATCACAACAAGAAAGCCTTTACTTACTCTCAAAACTCCACCTTCAGCCAAAAACTTAAAACCATTTGAGTCAAGGATGCCTAAAGAAATGAGGTTCTTCTTGAACTATGGAATATGACGGACATTGCTCAATGTTCTAATAATACTATCATGGGTTCTAATCTTAATTGATCTGATACCAACAGTCTTGCAATGCATGTTATTTCCCAACAAAACATTCCCACCATCGATAGACTGATATGTGACAAAACAATTCCTATGCGGACACATATGGTAGGAACAACCCGAATCAAGAACCCACTCATTTTGTGAATGAGTATTAACACTAACTGAAAGAACTTCATGTGAACTAGATGACTCTTCAGTTACAGTGGCAACTGAAGGCTTTACATCCCCAGACTTTGACTGTGAATTGTCCTTTGCTTTAAGCGCTGGACAATTAGGTTTTATATGCCCATATTTGTGACAGTAATAACATTCAACATTTCTTCTTGGCCTAGACTTTGATCTAGACATGTTTCTAGATTTACCTTTACCACCAACACCCTTTTCAGGACGACCACGAGCGAACAAGCCTTCAACTTGATCATCTCCTCCTACGATAGACACTTTCTGCCTTAACTCTTTTGAATGTAAGGCTGATTTGACATCCTCCAAAGAAAGTGTATCTCTACCGTATAACATGCTATTGACAAAATTTTCATAGGAATGAGGTAATGAACATAACAAAATGAGTGTTTGATCTTCTTCGTCGATTTTAACATCAATATTCTTTAAATCCATAAGAATAGTGTTAAGTTCATCTAAGTGGTCTTTAATTCGCATACCTTCCTTCATGCGAAGGGTGAAGAGGCGTTGCTTCAAGTATAACTTGTTTGTTAGAGATTTCGTCATGTACAAGCTCTCCAACTTGAGCCACAAGCCGACGGCGGTATCTTCATTTGCAACCTCCCGCAGGATCTCATCGGCCAAACAGAGCTGTATGGTACTATGCGTCTTCATCTCCAGCTCTTCTTTCTCATCATCGGGCATAGATTCTGACAACTTATCCTTTCCGGACAAGACTTTGAACAGTCCTTATTGTACTAGGAGAGCTCTTATTTTTACTCTCCATAAACTGAAACTGTTTCTCCCATCGAATTTCTCCACTTTTTATTTCGCCGAAGACATCTTAAAGCCAACTAGAACAGTAATTGTATTTATGAACAGTTACCGTATTTGCGAACAGTAACAGTACGTATAAATAGTAACCGTATGTATGAATAGTAACAATACTTTTGAATAGTACCGTACACGTGAATAGTACCCGATGCCTTTAAAGAGTAAAAGATAATCTAACTTATTTTCTGATGTGGAGGATCCACTTTTAGTGGCAGGCACAGAGCATATAGTGGCAGCCACAAAGCATACGATAAGCAGATACACGTACTCTAAGCAGGCTCTGATACCAGTTTGTTGCAGCAGAGGGGCTTCACAGACACAGAAGATGTCTATACAAGAGTGGACAAATAGAAAACAGCACACAAGGATTTAACGTGGTTCGGTCAGTATGACCTACATCCACGGGCGAGAACAATAGAGAAATTTACTAACCACCAAAAGAGAAGAATACAAAAGAGGAGACCACTCTAACTAGAGACTCTCATAAAGAAAGGGACTATCTTTCTATCTCACTCTCTTCTCTCTCTAATTTTCTTTTCTCTGACTGATGCATTAAACACTCTCCCCTCATCCCCCTTATATAGCCATAAGAAAATAATAAAATATACAAAAGGGGTTGGTGAGGCATTGATCTGACGTTGCAAAGTTTGAAAAAACTCCAAAAAAGTTAGGCAAATGAAGACATTTTAAAAAGCACGTGACATTAACGGTGTTAATGACACCGTCGTTCACTGCTTTGATTGTGTAGCTTGTCTTTCCCTTTATGAATTGAGAAAATTTACAAGTTTACATAGAGATTAATTGAGACATGCAGAATTCCCTCTTTTGTCAAAGAAGGAGAGCATCAAGTAGTAGTAGTACTAATTCCAACGGAAGGTGGCCGTTAGAAGGTTCAATTTCAGACATAAACACCCTAAACTGTCACCGGGGAACGAGGTTTGATATCATCAACGTGAACACAATTCTGAGGTCCTCCAAATAAAGAAATAATCATCGTATTCAGCAATTGATCAAACCCGTGTTAACTTAATTCCAGTATTGCTCTTCCCTCACCAAGGTATAACACATCTTCCGGTACAAGACAATCCACCCAATTAACTTATCAACAAACAAAACAAAAGAAAATAAGTACAACCCAATAACACGAACAACCACTTGCCTTCCTCAATCTACCGAAGCCGTGTGTCTAAAACAATCGATATTGCACAATGCGACGGATCTCACCATCCCTCCAAGTCTGCCACCATGAAAGCTTAGAAAAGTCAGGAACAAATACATGGGAAGAAACACAAAGGTTTAAACTGTAAAAGCGTGAAGGGATCAACGCAAAGAAAGGATGATAAGTGGAATAAGTTTATATCGGACCTATCAATACTATTTCTTGGCTTATCAGGCTGATCCACACTGATCCTTGGTTTGTCATACACATCTATGCTCTTCCTTGGCTTTCCCCTGAGATCAGTGCTTAATCTTGTAGATTTCTCTTTCTGGTCAGTGCTATTCCTCGTGGGTTCAAGACCCTCAAAACGTATCCGGGGAGGATCAAGAGGATGTGAATTGTTTGAAGAACCATCTTTATGAGCAGGTATTTTTTCTACTGCTGATATGAACTTTTTGAGATGCCTTATATACTCAGGATATAGCTCCAAATTACAGTGGTGGCCACCCTTAATCCATAGTGGCTCATACTTCTCTTTGCAGAGCTCCCAGAGACCCTTCCCATGGGAGCAATCTACAACTTCATCGGCTGTCCCCTACAGGCATAAAAGACCTTAGATCTCTAAAATAGGTGAAAAGGCATGATAAAAGGACTTTTCAGATATTTGTATTTATGCAGGGGTGTATACTGTGAAGCAATACTATGAACATAAGCAATGCAAAAAAGTAGAAATACCTATACAGGATTAGAAGTTGAAATGACAGTACTTACATGAATTACCAAAACAGGACATGTGACCAGAGGAATTTTATCAATGTTCTGAAGAAAGAAGCATAATTATGGTTAGGTACCAGTAGCAAATAAAGATAACAAAGCAATAGCAAGATAAATGGCATATGAAACCTTATATATGTCGAACCAGTATGTGTGCTTCACTGGATACACAACTCTCACTCCAGATAAAATGGGACTATGTAGAACAACTGCTCTGAAATGAGACACATGCGAAGCTAAATGCAAAGTGGGGCCACTACCAACTGACTGACCATATAAGATGATATTTTCTACATGTATTCCATAATTCTCTTCAAGGCATTTGTAAGCAGCCTCAACGTCAGCGTAAGTATTTTGCTCACTGGGCTGCCAGTTAAGAATTGCAAATGTAAGATCATTGTTGTAAATAAATATTATCCAAATTATTAGCAATAAAGAGCTCAAGAGAAATATTTAATGCTACCTTTCCAGATGATTGTCCATATCCTGAATAATCATACCTGCAGAAAAACATATTCAGCTTAAGTGGATATTATATAACTTCGATGACATCAACACAAGAAGCCATTAACATTCTACAGAAGACAACTGTTTGAGGTAAATTAAGATGTTGTGATTCTGAGACGGTGATCAATCTCCAGCCTGAATGTGAAGCTCACACCGTCATACATGGCACTATTCAATAATAATAATGCAGGTAAAATTGTTTCACTTAGCTAAAAAAAAGTTCTAATAAGCACCACCTTAATAATGTTAAGCAATAATAATCGTTTGCAAGTGCACCTAAAAGGAACTCTTTTTTTTTTCCTTGAACTTGTTTCCAACCAGTGCTCATGAGTGTTTACTATGTTTTATTATTAATTTATTTATTGTGATGACCCCAGCCTGCAATCGAACCTAGGACTGTGGGAGCGATATTGGAACATACCAATCGCCCAAGTCACCCACGACGGGCTACTATGTTTTATTGATAGTCATCTAATTTCAATAGTTTATCATCAGATGTAAGGATCGTGACATGATAGTACATGAATTATACTAAAAAATCATTTGCTTAAGTAGCCATATGCTATAAAATTTTGAGGTTTCAATTTATTAATGAAAAATTCTTCTTAAAGACCCTGCCACTATACCATAAGTCCAAAGTTTTGGTGAGAGTTAAGGGTTATAATTTATGTACTCTGAGTCTAAGATGTCCACTCAGGTTGAGGAACCTTTTATGGGCGAAAACTAGACTAATGGAGCAGTATCTTTTTAAAATCCACTTTAGAAATTCGCTCTAGCAATTCTCAAGGGTTTTCAGTCAATGAATGTCACAGTTCTTAGTTGTGTGGAAGGTCCTTTGTTGTATTGGTTTCGAAGATATGTGACAAAGTCTAGCTGCAAGGTGATTTGGTAATTGTTACTAAGCAGAAAAGATCAGGGCAAGATTTTGAGAATTAATCTCCTTAATTTCAAGGTTTTGAGTCACAGACATTCTTAGATGGAAAATTCGATGCAGATTGGCTTTCTGACAGGGGCCTGCACAAATATCATTCGGAGTGTGTTATGTTGATGAAGGGCCTCCATAGAGGCTTTTAACCCCAATTCACCCAACCAGGGAAAAAAGTACAAAAGATGTTTCGTATCCTACAGTTTGCCATGCATGTTTTGGTTGGCTTCATTTATAACTGAAAGATCTTGATGCATGAAAGTAAAGGCAAACTTCTGACTAGGGTGTCTGAATTTCGAGAAGGTATATGGAGCACATTCTTTTGCCGAGCTGCAAGCTATTTATTTCCTTGTTATATCAGCAACATATACTTGTGCATCATACTTAATCCATCTTACTGAAAATAGAAGAAAATCACTCATCTTCTTCTTTGGCTAGACGAAAATGTAAGAAGACAACAGAGAATGATTAATGGTGGAGATTTACTACAGATTAGTAACATTAATAAGATCCAGTGAGGCGATTGAGCTACAGAATTTTCAACAATGTCAATGACAGTGATGACCAACCCTGGAACAAAAGATGAATAGCATAGTCTCTGCTTCTAACAATGGTCCTAAACATCAATGCTCCAACTTCCGCGGAAGACAACTGAAGAATATTCACACTGAGATCTGTTTATTTCCTAGTTATATCAGCCCATATGCCTCTATCCTATCTTATCCATCCTCCAAATGAAGCAGACAGTACCTCATCCTTTTCTTCCCCTCAAACTACATGCCTCATGTAGCTGATTGATCTACCTTTTGAAATGACTAATAGTAGCAAGATTGGTACGTTATTTTTTCTGAGAAGCAGTCATGTTCAAATATACCTTTGACGTGTATGAGAGAATTTCACGTTTCACTTTGGTTTTATCCAACGTCTGACCCTCGAGTCTCTTTCTCTAACCTACATATCATCTTTGACATTTCGCTCGGAGGATCAAATGATCTCATGTTCTGCATTATATTGTATTCTATATACCAGTAAGTATACAAAATGGTCATTCTGATACAGGCAATAGTTTTCTCTCAACTCATAGACACTTCATCTGCAAAACATTATAATTAACCCTCCAAAGTGATTGCCTAAACTGAAAAAGGGGAGCAAAATATTTGTTTGGACAGTTGGACTGAAAATCATTCTCAATCTTATTTGGCTGAGTATCCATAGATCATTTGTTTCCTGGGATAGAATGAGTAGAAAAACGATTAGGATTACAAACAGAAATGAACATTAGGATATGAGATTAAAATTCAAGACAATAAAATTTATGTCTGAGATAACAGACAAAGTTATGACAAGGCTCTTAGGGAAAAACACCAGTAGTCAAGCCTCATTTAAATTTCCTAAACATTCGGATAAACTCAGGATATTAAATTACTCATGAGTTTTGGTTCAAAAAAGATCATTCAAACAACATCCTTGAGATTAAGGCATTCCTTTTTTCAGAAAAAAGAGATGTTAATGCCAAATCCTGAAGATCTGGTCCTATTCAAACAATCCTATGTAAGTTCTAATCCTGAAGAGCCTTTGGTGATTTAGCTTCCTTGTATGTTCCCTCTTCTATCTCTTTCTTTCATCAACTTCCACAGGATATGCCTAAGGTTCCTTCCCAAAAGCACCTTATTATATATCCGATAGTTAAATTCGATCAACTTCCAAATGATTTCTCTCTTTTGTTTTCGTTATGTTTTCTTTTCTGTCACTCTTTTTATCAACTTAAAGAGGCGTGCCTAAACATGATCATATTTATACTCTTCAATAGGTTCTGCATACATTGGCGAGCCTTGTGTTGTGTAAGATCAGAAAATAACATGCAAATTTGGAAGGAATTCTAGATGGGTGGAACCATATATTTGAGTTCAGTACAGCTAATCCATAAGGTTTGAGTTCATCACGGCTAGTCCCTACTGATTGTATCCTACACAAATATGTATGATAAAATTGGAAGATATTTAGGAAGTTCATATATAGGAAGATGGCAAAAGTTCAGTATAGGTCCCCAATGTTTTAGCTAAACTTCATTTGAGTCTTTAAACTTTAAAAGTCATCAACAGAGATCCCTAACTTTTCTCTATTATCATATTAGGCCCTTTTTTGAAATTTTTCGTTAATTATTCATGACGTGGTAGGACCTTTTTGTCATTCTTAATTATGTTTGCTGACCTGATAGTGATAGGAGTGCTTTTACTCTGAAAATTTTGAAAATTAAAAATAACCCTAAATCTTACAAAAATGTCCCTAAAAAGTTACAAATAGCCCCTTGAAAATTACAAATAACCCCTTGGATTTTTACAAAAAGACCCTAATTTTTTACAAATAACCCCCTGAAATTTTTTACATATAATTTTCAAACCTTTCAGGGGGTTGTATGTAAATTTTTCAAAGGGTTATTTGAAAAGTTGAAATTTTCACAACTGTTTGTAAAATATCTCGGGGCTGTCTGTAAAAAATTTAGGGACCCACTTATAATTTTTTTCAAACTTTAGTACGCTATTTCTAAATTTGTAAATTTTTCAGAGGGCTATTCATAGGATATTTAGGGGTTATTTGTAATTTTCAGAACTTTCAGAGGAAAAGTAGTCCACTCAGTATCCAGTCAACAAAAAAATTGAGAATGACAAAAATGTCCCGCTATGTCATCAATAATTAACAAAAATGTTCAAAAAAGACCTAATACAATAACGGAGAAAATAATAGGGATCTCTGTTGATGACTTTCAAAGTTTGAGGACTCTAATAAAATTTAGCTAAAACATCATGGAACTATATTGAACTTTTGCCTAAGAAGATATAATGATTGAGATAAGAACTAATAACATCAAAACCCAACAATCAATAAAAAATTACCTAAAGTTTTGTTTTTTCCCTCCTCTTCGTTTGGATTTTTAACCTTTTTTTGTATATTTTTAAAATTAACCTTCAAAGCTTCAATATTGCTAGTTTGCCAATAAAATTATGGTCAAATCTCAAATCTTTTCCTCTACCATTAATTGTTTAACTTTTTAAACAGTAACAAGATAAAAAGAGCCTGATGTCCTCTTAAATTCTGTAGAGAGGATAAAATTTCCTCTTTTGCTTTCTCCGCTCGAAATCAAACTCAGAGGGAATAAAGAGTCTTGACCAACGAGTGTTAAGGCCGTGAGGTGAGGGCTGACCTAGAAGCATCACAGCGTTGAGGGTAACACAGTAACACTTTCTGTCTCTCCTCACTACAAATCTTTTTACCGTATTGAGCTTCAAGAGAACGCATCTCTCTTGACATCCTACTGAAGGTTGGCTAGTAGAGCCAAAACAACAAGACTTGGTACAGACATGGAAGAACATGTCGAGGTATACAAATGAACAAAAGTTAGTTTATAAGGATATGAAGAATAATTTAAAATATGCAAAACTTAGAGGGTATACAAATGAACAAAAATTTTCAAAGATGCAAAAGATATAGGTCAAGTATATTCAATTTTGGTTTTTCATGATGAACTCAAACTTTCTTTCTATTATGCTTCTTTCAACTGACTTTACAGTAACCTTATCTGTACATTAAAGCTAATAAGTATATAATGAGTTGTTATAAATTGCAAGCCTCCACAAGTATCTGACTAAACGAAATCCTCTTCTACCTTGTGTGCATCGTTTTTTTCTTTCTTTTTTTTTTTTTTTTTGGGGGGGGGGGGGTGTTGTTGTGGTGGGGGGAGTGGTAAATATTCCCCACTGGCCTCTGGTCCGCCCACGGACTAGTCTGCATGCTTAGTTGTGTGTGTGCACCACACCACCTTCAGAAGTGGTGAAGTTTGAATAATCATATCAAAGATGTTCGTCGTGTGGAGCGCAATGATGAGGTTCTAAAAAATTAAAATTAAAACATTCCACAATGAGATGTTAATTCCTTAAGTTGCATTTTGGACCGAGGGAACCACTAACCAGAAAAGGCGTGACATCCTACGAAAGGATTGGATATGCACTTTGAGTGTATGTAAGCAAGAATCTGCTCACCAGAGTTTGTCTCTGCTAGGAAAGCATTTCAAGCCCAAAAGCTAATGTCCTACAAAAGTTGCAGCCTAGAGAGGTGTAAAGAGCATAACAGTCTTAATGAATTTAATAAACATTTGATATTTAATTGCAGTTGGACTTTTAAGAGAGGACAAGGTAAACACTCTATAGTAACATGCCCAAGCAAAATAGTACTAAAGTGTGTTAATCTAAGGTCATCATTGATAGGAAAGCATTTCAACCCCAAAAAAAATGTCCTATAAAAGTTGCAGCCTGGGAAGGTATGAAGTGTATAATAGTCTTAACGAATTTGATAAACATTTGACATTTAGTTGCAGTTAAGCTTTTGAGAGAGGAGAAGGTAAACACTCGATACTTACATGGCCAATCAAAATAGTACTATAGTGTGTAAATGTAAGGTTGTCTTTGCTCTGTTCATTACAAAGGGAAAAGCAGTAACATGAGTCATAAGTGCACAGAACTAAGTGGACAGAGTGTGGCACATAACTAATTGCACCAAAGAAGTAACCATGGGAAGTAACCATCACCACTTCTGGAATATGGAGATGTCATTTTAGAATTTGAGGAGCAACACTAGAATCCCATACTCTTGTGGTTAATGCTTAAGCTTAACAAGTTCTCAACTTTAGAATATAGCCATGAAATGAATGCAGGGAGGATGTCTCTACACAAAAAGTGAATAGTCATACACCATATCTGGTTGTATGTCGACACAGAAGGTATCTAATACTTGATTGATAGAGTTAGTTCCAAACAGACAAACTCAATTGGTAGAGTTAGTTCCAGTGGGTACAAACTCAATTGATAGAGTTAGTTCCAATTAGAACAAACTAAATTGATACAGTTAGTTCCGATGACAACAGACTCACTTGATACTATCATTTCCAATGAGTACAAACTCAATTGATAGCATATACATGTCCACGTGTCTTAGGAAGGAACATTGATTCATTTGCGGGGCAAACTTTTAGAGTTAGTTCCAATCAGACAAACTCAATTGATAGAGTTAGTTCCGATGACAACAGACTTACTTGATACTCATACTATCATTTCCAATGAGTACAAACTCAATTGGTAGCAGATACATGTTTTAGGTAGGAACACTGATGCCTTTTAGAGTAAGTTCCAATCAGACAAACTCAATTGATAGAGTTAGTTCCAGTGGGTACAAACTCAATTGATAGAGTTAGTTCCCATTAGAACAAACTCAATTGATACAGTTAGTTCCGATAACAACAGACTCACTTGATACTATCATTTCCGATGAGTACAATCTCAATAGATAGCAGATCCATATTTTAAGAAGGAACACTGATTCAATAGTTGGGAAACCTTTTACAGAGCAGTACTGAAGTACTAGGACAAGAAACCTTATGAGAGGTTCATTTGTATCGAGAGGTGAAATCACAAATTTTGATGTAAGACCCAAATGAAATGTGGTCCCACACACTACACAAAACTAATTTATATATGAGCTAACACCACAAAGTCTGTTGTAGCTTCACTATTTCCTGCTTGTGAGTGGTTTTTAGTCTCATAAACTTCACATTCTCTTTACTAATAGAACCTTCCAAATGTAAACTGCTGTATCATGCACCAGAAATAAATGTTAAAGAGTAGACTTCTAGATGCATGTCATCCAGTTATTACACTGCATACATATCCTTTGGTTGAAACAATTATTCGTGTTACATGTAAATGCTCTTCTTTTTCATGCGTCACTTGTAAAGCTTATATGGACATCAATCCTCGCATAGAAGCCTAAATATCAGTAGGTGTTCAAAATTCTAGTTTATAAATCTCCATGAAGGAATTAGCATATACATATGAATTGCAGCATACCTATCTTGCATCTAGCGGGTGATGCATGACTATGTCCAGGAAACTATTAAAAGACAGTAACTTTGCTTGCATTGCACCTAGAAGGCCAGTAGCCATGGAACCAAGTATTAGATTCAGTCATATGAGCTTGTGCAACCACTAATAAATCTTTCTGAATACTCCTAGAGAAAGAAACTTGGTAGAAGAGGAGAAAGAAATAAGTCGGTTGAAGGGGAGAAATTTCAGAAATTATAAGGACCTGCATCCACCTTTAAGGCAAAGTAAATGCCAAAAAGACAACCTAAAGTGAAATTTCTCCTTTATAAGAAGTAAGAAGATCATGGACAAGTTGGGAGCTTTTGTCACTTGGAGTAGCACTGTACTGTAGGGAACTCCTTTCAAACTGGTTCAGGAGAACCATTGTTATGCTAGTCAAAGAGTGGAGGTGCTCCCAGTTTTGCTGTGGGAGCAACCCCCTTTTTCACCTACTCTTACATCATCCATCTTGACTATTATAAATTTAGAAATAATAGGCGATAAACCTTACAAATCTTCCACCTTGACTATTTCAGACAAAGGAAAGGAATTCTCGGAGAGCTGACACCGAGCTTACCCGAGCTGGAACAGCTTGATACCAATAATTCCAGCATATTTACTTACTATACTCCCACCCTCGACAAACTTTCCATTGGCAGTAGCTGAACTCTACTATCCAAAACAAAATTCCAATAACCCAGATAACAAAAAAAAAAAAAAAGCTAAATTCATCAAGCATCACTGTTTCAAAAAACCTCCGCCTAGTCCGCTTAGGCGTACGCCTAGGCCTAGACGGTACCTAGGCCGCCTAACTAGCGCCTAACGCCTAGGCGGTATTTAGGCTGCCCACCTAAATTTTACGAGTGTTTAGGGGAGCATTGTCTGCTTACGTGGATTGCACCCTGTAGACCTTGATTGTGATTTTATGTGTCGTAGTCTACACGTCCTCCAAACTCCATTAACCTCTAAATATGAACATCTTCACTACCTCCTCCGACCTTCAGCAAAACCTCATCGATCACCACTTAAATGAAGAAAGAAAAAAAACGCCCAGAAACCTCTTAGGCGCCCGCCTAGGCGACTAAGCGCTGGGCGCCAAGTCCGACGCCTAGAAGCGCCCAACGTTTAATGTAACATTGTCAAGCATTATAAATAAATAAAGAGCTCACCCCATTAAGTTAACCCGGAGGTGATGACTGAGCTCGGTGAAGAGCTCATACATCTGACCAATATCAGCAGCGTTTCCATGCGAGTAAAGCACCGTGAGCCTCGCCAACGGATTCCTCACGTACATCACAACGATCTCAGTCCCTCTCTTCGTCTTAACTCTCCTCACATCGACGTTCTCCTTCACGGAGACCCCCGTGACCGTCACCACCCCGATCAAATCCTTCTCCTCGATCTCATACGACGGTGGATTTGGCGGGAAGAAGGCGAACTTCGACGCCAGCGACGAGGTCACTCCCCCCATATCGACTGCAGCTAGGGCGTCCAAATTAGGGGCAGGAATGGGGTTCGCTGCCGCATCTCGATTTAAGAGAGATCCGCGAAATTAGGGTCAGGGCTAGGGTTAGAGCTTGGTTTGGGGTCGAGGAGAAGGGGGAAGAAAATGGGATGCATTTATTGGCGGTGGGTTAATTTTTTATACGAAAAAAAAAGGGGAAATAAATTTGGGGAAGGTTGGGAGAATCGGAGAAAGGAGAAGGAATCGGATTTAAAAGGGTTTTAAAGTGAAAGGGAGGGAAAGAAATAGGAAGGGAGAAGAAGAAGCACGTGATCCCGTCTGTAGCTCACGTGTTTTTACGGGAATTCGCGATGGCTTTCCTAATGGCTGTTTGGATGCCTCCAGGAAACTAGAGTATTTATGACACAAAATAGAAAGTGATTATCCACCTCACCACTTTCAATTCGAGTGTTTACATTGTTTGGTTAGGAATCTTTGTGAATCCTAAAATAATAGTATTACATTGTTTGCATAGTATAATGTAAACTAGAGTATTTATGACACAAAATGAAAAATGGTTATCCACCTCACCACTTTCTACAAGGTTTTAACTTTTTTATTATTATTTTTTGACACATTTATGACATTGTGTAAGCTTTCCAACAAAATCATTCCTAATTTTGGTGATTTTGCTTTCAATGACACCTCATCAAAAGGTGTAAACTTTTCATGTAAAAGAGAATTTAAACAAACAATGTAAAGTGATGAAAGCTGACATTGGGACCCACTTTTTTAAAAGAGAATTTAAACAAACAATGTAAAGTGATGAAAGCTGACATTGGGACCCACTTTTTTACATTTTTCATCCTTTTACATGGACAAACAATGTAAAGTGATGAAAGCTGACATTGGGACCCACTTTTTTACATTTTTCATCCTTTTACATGATAAAAACATACAACCAAACAGCCCCGCGTCGCTTCCTCTCGGGGCAGGGGAGTCACCAGACGAGTTTGGTCAAATGTGCGTTGTTGTAGCAACAAAAAAAGTCTACAAAAGTGTTTAGTTTGATGGTGTCACAAATCTCAAAGTGTTGTTGTAGCAACAAAAAGTCTTAAAAATAGATTACTTACTACCACATTCAAAATAAGTTGTGCTGCGACAGCAAAAGGTGCAGCACTTGTTTTCTTTTCGTCTATGTAGTTTTGAGATAACAAAATTGTATTCCAACTTCAGGATAAAAAAAACTCTAGATATAGTCCCTCTCCACACGTAAATATTATTAAACCGCAAAACCTTTTACCCTCTTTTTTTTTTTATTAATAACTGAAATATGCACATATTGTATAGATCTAACAATATTTTGGATGAAAATCAGAGAACACAGCCTAATGAGCTCCTAAGTTTATCTCTCTTTGCTATAAGCACTCAACTTTCTATTTTTGAAAAAGAAGCCCCTAAGTTTTGCTTCACTCTACAAAAGAAATACAAGAAAATAAATTCTACAAAGAAATAATAATAAAAGAGTATGAAAGTAAATCTACACTAAAAGGAATGAATTAAATCTAGTACACTAACATAAAAATAAAAATAAAAATCCTAAAATATGAATTTCTAAAACATGAAAATAAAAGAGAAAAATATAAACTTACATTGCAAGGTTGGCCTTTTGAAAGCAACTCTTCATATTCATCTTCGTCAATAAAAAGGAATAAAAGAAAATTTAAAAGGAGGAATTTTTTATTTATTGTAAATAAAACGTTTATAATTTTAGAAAGTCTTCTCAATTAAGAGTAACCCTCCTTTCTAAATGGAGTTTTTATAATAAAAAAAATCACACGCAAATCCTTCACCATCTACCCCTATTTATAAGCTACAACAATTAACAAGGGCCATTAGACTTGGCTTGAGCTCCAAGAAATAAGTCTTAGTCATATATTGCTTCTGTTATGAACCAATTGGTTGGCCAATCAGTTAGCCAAACGGTTAGTTGACCAATTGGCCAATCAGTTAGCGTATCGATTGGTTTCTAACAAAATTAATTCCTTAGTTAACTCGTTGACTCGATTTTTTCCTAATTCCTTGGGCTTTTGTGGGCTTCCTCTTGACTTGATATTCGACTTCAACAGCTAGTAGGAAAAATAAGAGAATTTGGTTCTTTTAGGCTCTTATTCAATTATTCTTCACTTCCTACAAATTAAAAGAACGACACATGAATAGTGATATATTTATTTAAATAAAATAGATAATGATCATATAAAAGTGTAATAAAATGTGATGATCAGCTAGGGTCAAATCTGACCTCTTCCTCATGCTGCGACAAATCTTATGGTAACTCCTAGTGATAGCTATGAATGATTTGTCAAAGTAAATGAACTCCTTAAACTTTGTTTGGTCAAATTCAATGATCAATGATTTAACAAAAGATCCTAAGGCTTTAGTATCGGACTACGACACAATTTTCTCTTCAGTTGAGAATAAAGTCCCTAGTGAAGTCGCTATCTAGTTTAGGGTCTTAAAATTACAATTGACTCAAGATTACAATTTTAAGAAAAACAAGAAAAAATTATTTTAAAGCAGGGTTCTTTTCTACGCAACGATGAAGCATCGATCTTGTACTCTGTTGATGGTTCGAAGTATGGACGAATGGTCTTCTTGCTAATTTTATAAAGGTCGTCAAAGTTGAGCCGAGATTGATTTATCTCTAGATGAGAAGATGCTAAGATGACAACATGGCCAAAAATGAGCAATCTTGTGACGCCCTTGGGTTCACACAAGGCTGCAGTCCAAGGTGAAACCAAGAATGTCAAACCTGCCATGCACCACACCGTGCAATAATATGTTTCACCATCACAATTACTATCTCTCTAGTAGAGTCAAATAACAGGTGTAGGTACAAAAGCAAGTAAAAGATAATACAAGAGTCAACTGATGAAATAATAGAGATCAAATTAATATTTCATCATCTAACATACTGAAGTATAAGTCAATGTCTGAAACGAGTAAACTGGAACTTCTCAACAAGCCTCAAATACAAATGTTTGAATAAAAGGAAATAAGGCACACAACATTTACAACTTTTAGAAATAAACTCTCAAAATATCTAAACAAAAGTCTACAGTGGAGCTCAAAAGTAAAATGTAACTATAATAGAATAGCTGAAGCTAAAGTGCCTCGCCATCAACCTGCGACTCTCCGGGCTCCTGGCTCATTACCTGAAAGGGGGAGGGACAACGAGCGTCAAAGCGCTAGCGAGTAACATCACAACCAACCCCAAGGGAACAGGGCTCGTTGTTATATATAATCACAAAATCCTATTTAGGTAATTACAATGTGAGCATATGTACGTCGAGCGAAATAATCCAAACAAGGAAACCCTAATGTATATACCATGTAGTTCAGATTGTAAATACCTATGTATAAGAGGATTTTAGTATTTAGGAAGTTACAACACGAGCATAGGTACGTCGAGCGAAATAATCCAAACAAGGAAACCCTCATGTATATACCTTGTACCTCAAATTGTACCTTCCTAAATACCAAACCCAAAATCTAATACAAGAACATTAATAATAGAAGGTAACTCATCTCAGACTTAATTACAATGTCGTGTCACAACTCATATAAATATCGTGTCCCGCCAATGCAAGTATAAGTGTTAACTCTCAAGGTCTAAACTGATATAGTGGATGTCCAACACATGGACTGCATATGTAAACAATCCAACACATGGACTGAAAGTGATAAGTGTCCAACACATGGACTACACATCATAATTGCCCAACACATAGACTAGATGAGTTATATGAACAGGTGCATATATCCTAATTTCTCACGTTTCTCGGTGCGCAAAACTAAACTCGTGTTCGTATGTTATCTCACATGTAAAGATATAGGTTATACATTAATTTCTAATACCCATCATTCGAGGTGACTGCTCGTTCATATTTAAGCACGCAGCAACAATAAACAAACATAAACAATTTCAATTAAACTGAAATAACTCAAACAGATTCAACTAAAGAAGTACAAAAGAATGAAACTCCTCATCAGTCGACTCATTGGTCGACTCATCAGTCGACTCATAAGTCGACCAGACAAAGCACACAAAACTGAGATTTTTCCCATCAGTCGACTCATTGGTCGACTCATCAGTCGACTCATTGGTTGACTAAGCAGAAAATCTCCACTTTTCTGTTTTCGATGATTTATCTGGAAAAACGTTAACTAAAATTCTCTTCAATCATGTCCAGCAATATATTTTCGATTCTAACTCATGAGTATCTACAGAAACTAAAGGGGTTTGCATGTGATCACTTACATTAAAACCTTAATCATATAAACATGTTTAAAAACTTGCATGTGATCACTTACATTAAAACCTTAATCATATAAACATGTTTAAAAACGTATTGAAAATAGTAAATCACATTGAATCTCATGTTTAAACAAATTTCCAGATCTGGATCTTAATTTACAAATTCGTTTGTGAGCTTTTTATAACTAAAAAAAAATATAGATCTTGCATCTCATAATGTAAAGTACCTATTTTTATGCATAAAAATATGTTTTAGGCTCAAAATCCGAAATAAAACTCAAGAAAGCTATACAAACAGTGGGTGTAGGATTTGGCGAGATGTTACTCGCCTCTGAAGTGCTGTAAACTCCTGAATCTGATGAGAGGACAATCACCTTTGACAGCACCACAAAGACCCCGCTGAAAACTCCTCCGAAACTCCTCCAAAATCACCAAAACGAACTAGGGTTTGAGGGGAGAGAGGGGCTAGGGTTTCTCTGGGATTCTAATAGGTTTTTGGGTTGGTTTCGGGTAAAATAATATATATATATTACGGTTAAAACCCGAACAAAACCCAACCAAACCCGCAACTGAAAGAAAAAACCAAAATCAGCCCGTCAGTCGACTCATTGGTCGACTCATCAGTCGACTCATGAGTTGACTCATAAGTCGACTGAGCAGACACAAATTCTAGATTTCGTGCATGTTTTACTATTCAGCCAAAACCAATGCACAAAACTCTATGAAACCACACTCGTACATATCTAATAACTTGTTACCAAGTATATCTATGACCTCAAGTCATTTATCGCAAATAAAATTATTTATTCACTAATAATACATTTATACTTCTAACAAAATACAGGGTTCTACATTCTTCCCCCCTTACAAGAATTTCGTCCTCAAAATTCAGAAAGCACATTCAAACAAATAGTATCACTCTAGACGAGCATAAAATG